AGAATGAGAGAGAGGGAGAATTGCTGGGAGGCTGGGAGAGTACCTGGGACTGAGTAGGTAACATAGAAGTAGCAGGTGTTACTGTTAAGATTAAGGGACTGAGAGTGGGGGAAGGGCAAGGTGCCGATAAAGCCTCCCCAGTGCTTGATCCTCCTGCCTCAGCCTTCCAAGGGCTGGAATTACAGGTGTGAAGCACCATACGCAGCTACACTTTTTTTTTGTGGTACTGGGGTTTGAACTCAGGGCTTCACACTTGCAAAGCAGGCATTCTACTGCTTGAGCCACAACTGCAGCCCATTTTGCCCTGGTTATTTTGGAGATGGGCGTCTCAGGAACTATTTCCCCAGGCTGGCCTAGAATCAAGATCCTCCAGATCTCAGCCTCCCAAGTGGTTGGAATTGCCCAGCTACACTTTTTCTTTCACTGTTCTTGTCTTGTTTTGTTTCGCTTAACTTTTCTTTTGGGATTGAATCCAGGCTAATGCTGTACTACTTGAGCCACTCCCCAGATTGTAAAATCCACCCTTTAAGGTGTACAACTCAGTAGCATTAAGCACATAACTTTTTCTTTGTTTCTTTTTTTTTTTTTTTTTGCAGTACTAGGGTTTGAACTCAGGGCCTACACCTTGAACCCTACTCGAGGGCTCTACTAGCCTTTTTTGCGGTGGGGTTTTTTCGAGATAGGGTCTCGCACACAACTTGTCCTGGCTGGCTTCAAACCACGACCCTCCTGACCTCCTGAGTAGCTAGGATTACAGGCATGAGCCACCAAACCTGCTGTAACTTTTTTTTCTAATTCACCATAATGCACAGAAAAGCTGCTGGGATGGTACAAAGCGCTCCTGGAACCTTCCAGATTCACCTCATTTCCCCACATTTGTTTTTTGCCCCTCCTTCCCTGGATATATTTGTCTCTTTCTGGTCGTGGACAGCTTGTTGAGGTGGTGTGTCCATTTCTCCTGAGTACTGGAGTGTGCCTTCCGTGGGAACCGGCACACCTCTGCAACACTAAGTTTTTGATACAAGTTTGGTGTCTGACACCCTATTCAGATTCAGTTGTTGCCACCTGCCCCATTGATGGCCTGCATGGCACAGCCTACCCCCGTTGCAGGATGTCACAGATGTCACCTCCAAGCCCTCTTCCTCCTGAGGCTTTGCCTCCGTTCTCGGAGCTAAAGGAGAGAGGTAGGGAATTCAGTGCCATGGAGATGGACGCTGTCCACACCCGCATGTTCCACGGTGAACTATGTCGCCATCAAGGCCAGCGTGCTCGGTGCCAGCTGCTTGGGTTCCTGGGATAAGTGTGGGGGGAGGGGACTTACCCTTGTCACATGTTTCTCTGGGACCGAGATTCAAAAGCGTTTGCATTTGCCTCCGCATGCAAGGTGGAAGCAGCTGCTGAAGTGTGCCACAGCCCACAGGCGTGAGGGGAAGAATGGGTCTGGGAAGGGCAGAGCTTGGGGGTGCTAAGATCGGTCATTTCCACCCTGGGAACTCCCCAAGGAATGAGGCTGGACTTTGGGGCTTCCCCCAAGAATCAGATAACAGCCCCTTTGTGGGGCGGTGGGTGGATCCTGGAACCCCCTTGTGGGGAAAGGGACAAAAAAAAAGTAGACTTTCATGCTGTGGTCTTGAGAGTCCAATGCTTTTTCAGGGTACTTTAGGATCAAATGGGCTGGGTGTGGTAGGGCACACCTGTAATCCCAGCACACTCAGGAAGCAGAGGAGATCTTGAGTTTGAGGCCAGCCTGGGCTACATAGAGAGGCCTTGTGTCAAAAAAAAAAAGTAAATAAAAATAAAAAAAAATTGAAAGGTAAGGCTGGGAGTGTAGCCCTGGGGTATAGTACCTCAAAACAAATGAAAAGGTCTAAAGGGGTGGTCCTGGAAGGACCTTAAAATGTTCCAGAAAGCTTGGCTTTGTGTGTGTGTGTGTGTGTGTGTGTGTGTGAATTTGAACTCAGGGCTTTGCACTTGCAAAGCAGGTGCTCTACCACTTGAGCCACACCTCCAGTCCATTTTGCTTTGGTTATTTTTGGAGATGGAGTCTCTCAACTGTTTGCCTGTTCTGGCCTGGACTTTAACCACAATCCTCCCAATCTGAGCCTCCCAAGTAGCTGGGATTACAACCATGAGCCATTGGCACCCAGCTACCAAGCTTAGCTTTGATTGTTCACAATTTTTTCACGCTTGAGGGGAGAGGATTGGAAGATAAAATCCTTCAATTAGCACTACTCCCTGGGATATCATCTTATTCGATCCTCATAATAGCCCTGCAAAGTAGGAAATGGTGTCTCCATTTTCTAAGTGAAGAAAATGAGTCTCAGCAATATGCAGAAAGGGTAAGGGGACACCCTAACCCTGTTAAGGGATTTGGGATGTCATAGGTAATGCTTTGGTATAGTGCCAGCACACAGTAGGAGTGTAAGTGATGGCTTAACATCACTGTCCCCATCAGCACCTGCAGAAGTGCACATGGATGGAGCCCAAGCCTTTTGATGTGAAGTCCTCATGTCTGTCTACTTTCTGATTATTTTCCAAAAGTAATCAGAGCTCTCAACCCCTGCCTTCGAAGTCCTGGCCTTCATCTCTTCAGTAACAGCTGGGCTTCCTGTGTGTCCACCTTTGGGGGACGCCATAGACCTGGTAGGTTCCTGGGCTCCAACAGATTCCCGGGTCTCACTGGAGGAACTGGAGGACCATCCAGAAAGCAAGTAAGAGGTGGCTCCATTGTGCAGTGGATAGTGCATTTGCTTCTAGAGCATAAACCTGAGACCGCTCTAGGGCTTGGCTATGGGGGGTGGCTCGGGACAGTGGCAGATCAGTGTGGGCCGGTGCGGACAGTAGACGGCTCCCCCCACCCCAATCACAACAGCAGCTAATGTTTTGCTACATGCCAGGAGTGGGATACTTTCTGTGTGGTGCACATTGAGTCCTCACAACTTCCCTAGAATAGGTGGATTCTATTTTTATAACCATTTCACAGATGGGGAAACTGAGACGAGGAGCTTAAGTAACTTGTGCAGTCCAACAGTCAGTGGGTAGCAGAGCTGAGAAGCACATCCAGGCTGGCTGGCTCCAGAGCTAATGCCCTTAACCCTTACCTGTGTTCCGCCACCAGGAGGGGCTCAGCTAGCCCCTGAAGGGTGGGAGACTTCAGAGAGGCAAAATACTAAGGAGTGGGAACTCAGGTCAGGCCTGGCTGCGTGATTCTTAGATATGTTGTTGAATGAGCCTCTGTCTGCCCATCTGGTAAATGAAGGCAGCACCTTTTTCACGGAGTGGTGACTGGAACAACGTGTTTAAAGGATGGAGCAAGAAGCATTATTACTGGAAATGGACGGAGGTGGGGACGCCACCTGACCAACCCCAGCATCTGGGATGAACACTGACTGTAGGGATGGCTTGGGAAGGTAGCAGAGAGGAAGCTGGTTATGCTGGAATGTGACATGGTAGTAATGGGTTAGTGGGAAAGAAAACTGGGCTGGGCAGCAGGAGGCCGGGCCATTGAGAACTGGAAAAGCCACCATAAAATGCTCTACCACTCTTCAAAACGACAGGTGTGCGCTTTGTTGACATATGGAAATGTGTGTTTGGGGAAAAACTAGAATGCAAAATAGTATGTACAAATCTACAGCTGTGTAAACACGTTCTGGTCTGTTAAGTTTAGAGATCAGAAGGGCATCGCAGTGCCACAAATGTCCCCATTCACCATTCTTATTTATTTTCCTGTAAATTCCTAATGAAAACCAAGAGTCAACAGAAGATGGGGCGGGGGTTAGCTTTTAACCTCTGGAGAGCCATAGGGAGTCACTGAAGATTCTTTTGTTTATTTGTTTTGTTTATTTTTAACCAAGATATACAATTCATATAGAATTGATACTCTCTGCAGAGTCTACATTTGCAAATATGCTTAGTGGCTAAAGTTCGTTTGGAACCCAGTATCAACATTCACATTGCTTGTGGTCACTCAGACATGCACAGAGTAGCGAACATTTTCAGTGGCCCAACGCACACAGTTCCTTTCCGGTGAGGTTAAACAAGAAGGCACTGCTTTTTTTCTTTTTTCTTTCTTTTTTTTTTTTTTTTTGGTGGTAGTATAGGGGTTTGAACTCAGGGCCTCACATTTGTTTGGCAGGTGCCTTTACCACTTGAGCCACAACCCCAGCCCTTTCTGCTTCAGTTATTTTTGGGATAGGGTCTTGAGTTTTTGCCTGGACGGGCCTGGACTGTGATCCTCCTATTTATGCATCCTGCATAACAAGAATAACAGGCATGCCGCCATGCCCAGCTGTTGGTTGACATAGGGTCTTACTGACCTTTTGCCTGGCTGAAATCCTCCCGATCTCTGCCTCCTGAATAGGTGGAGTTAAAAGCATGTTCCACCACACCCAGCCTTTTTTTCCTTTTTGTGGCACTGGGGTTTGAACTCAGAGCCTCACGCTTGCTAGGCAGGTGCTCTATCACTTAAGCCATTCCACCAGCCCCCTTTTTTTCTTCTTTTGACAGGGTCTTACTATGTAGCCCAGGCTGACCTCAAATTATTGATCCTCCTGCCTCAGCTTCCCAAGTGCTGGGATTACAGACATACACCACCACACACGGCCCACTTTGCCTTCCTGTTTTAGCTGTCATTATGTAAACTAATATCCTTTTTGTACTTAGTACCATAGTTTCATATTTGTCTTTAAATGGAACACACAAAACAAGATTATGTGTTGACTAGTTGGCAAAAATGTTGTAGCTAGACATTTACAGGAAGCTCATCCAGCATTCCCCTTCGGAGCAGTGATTCTGTGTTTGCTGATTCGGTGTAGCCTGCAACTTCATAGACATAACTATCCTTGGTAACAAGAACTGCCCTTGCATATTTTGGTAAAAGGTTGTACAACCACCACCATCACTGCAGACTTGATAGCAGTACAGTGACCTCACAGAGCATGGATCTGAGAATTACCTGTCCATTTTTCTCTGTCCCCTGATCTCTCTCTGGTCCCTTTCAGAATGCCCAGGAGAACCATGGGCTGGCTGTGCCCACCCCCTCTGTCCCAGAAGACTTTGCAGACAAAGAAGTGACAGGTAAAAGGACCCTGAACTTGGGGTTTATCTCTTTCTTTCTTTCCTCTTTGGGCCCTGAATTCAAAACCAAATGTCTGTTCCATCTCCCCAGCTGGTGACAAAGCCAGAGACCACTGGTTGTGGTGGGAGGAAGCAGTGGGGCTGGGAGCTGGGGAGAGCCAGGGCTGGCCAAGCCCACTGGAGGACAGAATGGGAGAGGAAGAAAGGACTGGGCCAAAGCAGGATGGAAGGCAGGGTGAAGTGGTAGAACTCTGGAATCAGACAAGTCTGGCTTCAAATCCAGCTCCCCCATATTAGCTTTGTCCCTTGGGCAAGACATCCCCCCCCCACCTGCCACACACACATACCTCTACACCTTTCAGTGAATGATAGGAACAGCAGTTCTGGTTCTGAAGCAGTAAAGGAAGTACTGGATGGAATGTAAGTGACTTCATGTCACACTTCTGTTCGAAGTTGGTCCATGATACCTCATGTCACTCAAAGGAAAGGTCTTGTAAGGCCTGTCAGGATTTGACCTCTTCCCCCCCCCCCCCCACCTTATAGCTCGTTAAATCTCCCAGGCACTTTGCTCTAAGGTCTTTTTACTCTGGCCAGACCGCTCTCTTGGTCACCTGAATGGCTCCCTCCTGCCTGCCCTCTGCTCAAGGTCACCTTCTCAGGGAGGCCTTCCTATGTAAATTGTGCCCTTGGCTCCCCTCCCCTGTTGCTTTTATTATCTCTATCAGAGCAATAATTTTCTAATGTATTTGTTTGTTGTGTGTCTCATTGTGCTCTTAAGTCATAAGCTTCAGGGGGGCAACCAGGATTTTGTCTGTTTTGTTTACTGCTATTTACTGCTGTACCCCAGCTCCCAACTCTGGGCCTGACACCTGAGTGCTTGCTTAGTGTTAGTTTTTCCCTTCCCACTCTTTTTTTTTTTTTTTTTTTTTTGCAGTACTGGGGCTTGAACTCAGGGCCTACACCTTGAGCCAGTCCACCAGTCCTTTTTTTGTGATGGTTTTTTTTCAAGATAGTTTTTTCAAACTAGTTGCTTGGGCTGGCTTCAAACCATGATTCTTCTGATCTCTGCCTCCTGAGTAGCTAGGATTACAGATGTGAGCAACCAAAGCCCGGCTGACTCGGGGTCTTTAGATAGCAGGAGTTAGTGGCTTGTGCACACTGCTCCCTCCTATGGGTCTTTTACCTTACCTGCCCTGCCCCATGACTTCCTATCTCTTTGCCATTCCCTGGCTGGCCTACCCAGATGAGAAGTTAGTTACAGGGGGCAGTAGTCAAGGTGGTTACCATTTAGGAAGCCCACCTCCCACTCCCTGTGGGCCCGGCACTAGGATAAGCCCCCTATGTAGACTTAGTTGAGTTTATTTAGTACAAGTACCAAAGGCTTGTACTAGACTTGGGGGTGCTGGGGCTGGTGAAGAGGCATGGATGGAGTGGGAGAAGAGTGGATAGAGGAGACAGGCCCTGCCCAGGAAGAAGGGGCACTCCTAGGACAGCTCAGAATGTGTGCGACATTGCTGCTCTCTCACTTGGTGCTCGGGAGGAAAGGCCCAAATGGGCCAGTGTTTCTTCTGGGTGACCCACGTCCTTGTGCTGGATAAACAGAGTCTGGCAAGGATGGTTCCCATCCCCTCATCTCTGCCTCTCCCTTCTTTTAGGTACCGGCTCGCTAGTCAATGGCAACCTCCGGCTGTACAGCTCTGTGGGTGACCTGAGGCCTGGGCACTATGGCTCAGATCTACCCATCCCCCCACCTCCCCCAGGCCCAGCCCCAGGGCCACCCCAGGACATTTTACCTCCAGAGGAATCACCCCCACCACCTCCACCTTCCACAGCTCCCCCACCACCTCCTCTGCTATTGGAACCTCCACCCCCACCCCCACCCAGCATGGTCCCACCTCCACCCCCAATATTGGACACCTTATCTCCCTCACCCAACCTCTCCCCACCATCTACACCAACCCCTCCTGACTTCATTCCTCCCGCCCCACCATTGGCTTTTCTAGATCCCTCACCACCCTCTTTGCCCACCCCAGCACCCCCAGCTCCAGTGTCTCCTCACACAACGGGGATTCGTCTCTTTCCCCCTGGGGGTGTCACCAAATGGAAATCAGAAGTAGCACTGAATGGAAGGCAGCCAGAAACCCCCAGAACCAGCCCCCCCAGGAGTCCTGCTGAGCTAAAGGGGAGCCCCCTGGGACCTAACCCAGAGCCTCACCTCACCTTCCCCCGTTCATTCAAGGTGCCTCCCCCAACACCTGTCAGGACTTCATCTATCCCTGTTCAAGAAGCACAAGGAGACCCCCCAGAGAAACAGGAGGCCGACAGGAAGGCCCCTAGCCACCTCTCCCTGCCTCCCAGCTTCCACATCCGCCCCGCATCCCAGATCTACCCAGACAGGGCCCCCGAGCCAGACTGCCCCAGATTGCTCAGGGCGAAGGCACCAGACAGCCCAAGGCCCAGGCAGTCTGAGTCCCTGACAAATGAACAAGCTGGGACTCCACCCCCAGCCCCTCCCCTGCCCCCTCCTGCACCCCCACTTACTCCCCCAGCACCCCCCCTTCCCCCTGCTGCTCCTCCATTGCCTTCTGCTGAGCAGGTGGCTCCTCCATCTTCTGGGTTTGCAAAAAGCTCCAAGTCTATTTCACCTGCTCTCAAACCCAAACCCAAGCCCAAGCCCCCCAGTGTAGAGGGCGCATCAGAGCCTGTGGACTGGCGGGATCCCAACCAGATGGAAAAGCTGCGGAGCGAGCTAGCAGCCTATCTCTGTGGCTCCAGGAGAGAGGACCGATCCCTCAGTCATAGGCCAGGCCCCACAGTGGCCTCTCAGGTCAAGGAGGGCAGGAAGAGCCCCAGTTCACCAGAGGAAGCAGCTCCCCCAAGCCTGCCAGAGAAGATCCCCCCAAGTGCTCCCGAGAAGAGTCCCCGCAGCCCCAGGCAGTCAGAGAGGGAGGCCACCCGCAGCCTGACCCTCCCACCTGTGGACTACATGCCTCAGGACACTCCAGCCCCCAGCGTCAGGCAGATCCGCAATGAGCTGGAGGCCCGGCTCTCATTGGCAGACAAGGAAGCCAAGCCCAGTGCAGGGTCTCTGCCTCCCAAACCTCGGACAGAAGGTGGAAGAGTCTTTGAAAATGGGACTGATAATGGCAAATTCTCCAAGCCTGTAGCCAAGAATCCACCATCTCTATCCACCACCCCCCTGCCAGCCACACCACTCCAGTCCAAGGCTGCGCTTGGGCTGAACACACCACCCAAGGCCACACCTGGGCTGGCCACACCACCCAAGGCCACACCTGGACCAACCATACCACCCAAGGTCACATTTGGTTCAACCACACCACCCAAGGCCACACCTGGACCAACCATACCACCCAGGGTCACATCTGGTTCAACCACACCATCCAAGGCCACATCTGGTTCAACCACACCACCCAAGGCCACACCTGGGCCAGCTATACCACCCAAGGTCACATTTGGTTCAGCCATACCATCCAAGGCCACATCTGGTTCAACCACACCACCCAAGGCCACACCTGGGCCAGCCATATCGTCCACAGCTACAACTCTGCCCACCACATCATCCCAACAGGTGGCAGAGAAGGACCTCGTCCCAGGTGAGCAGAGGAAGAAGCCAGAATCTCAAAGTGCAGTGCCTTCCCAGCCAGGAACAGTGGAAGAGTCCCCATCAGTGGTCACAAGGCTGCCTGCACGGGGAGCTGTCTCCTCTCCTGCCCTCCCACCAAAGGAGTGCCCTGGCCGAGAAGAGGTGCCTTTTGTCTACAAGCCCCATAGAAGCCAGAACAGCCCCAGCCGAGAAGTTGCTCTGGTGATGCCTACCCTAGCCAGAGGAGAGGCTGTAGGGTCACGGGGGCCCTACATGGAGGGGAAAGAGCCCCAGGGTCTGCCAGCCAAACTCCCTGCCCCAGCACAGCCTGCTAACCAACCCCTCAGACACCCTGTGACTGGGGAGGTGGTGGAGCGGGGCTCCCCGATGGCCCTGCTCTTGGCAGCCAGACAGAGGGCACAGAAAGGCAGGCCTGGAGGGACTGTGCTGGGGCGGTCCTCCCTGCCCGGTAGTCTCCGGGGTCACAACAGCCAGCCGGAGACCAACTCTGACAGCATCTTTTACAACGCTGCCCGGCCCAACTCGTTTATGGTGGTCCCCAGGTCACCCAATGAGGCAGAGAAGGACTTGCAGCCAACCTCATCTGCGCAGACCACGGTACCCACTCAGTGGAAGCCCCGGACGGGAAGAGACCCAGAGGGCACCGAGCCGATCCACCGGCACAAGTGGACAAAGGCAGAGCCCCCCGCCCCTGGGGCCTGGGAAAAACAAACTCCCTTCAACTTCCCCCAGGGCCATCAGCTCCCCAAGTCCTTCTCATCTCCACCTTCTCCTTCCTACAAGAGGGAGGAGGAGGAGGAGGAGTTCAGCTTTGAGGTCATCCCGCCACCACCAGAGTTCAGCAATGACCCTGAGCCCCCCGCCCCTGAGCTCCAGTATCTGGGTCGCCGGGGGTCCCCTCCCAGGAACAACTTCTCGGACTTGGGGCAGCCCCTGAACGCGGGCTCCGCGGCCCCGTTCCCGCGCTTTCCCGGCGCGCACTACTCCGGGGCTGGAGTCCTGGAGCGCTTCTCGGGCGGGGGTCGTTCGCTCATCAAGAAGCGGCTGTACGTCGGGGAGCCCCACCGCAACCCCGCCATGCCCCGGGGCGCCACGGGCCGCAGCCTCAGTTCCCCCAACTGCTTCGGGTCGCAGCCCGGAGGCCCCGAGATGCGACGCGTCAACCCGGCGGGCCGCGCGCCCCCCGGTGGCCTGAGCGCGCGGAGGACGTCCCTGGAGGGCGGCGCCCGGGGCGCGGCAGAGGCCAAGTACAAGGTGCCCGCCGCTCCCGCCGCCAGGTGAGCTGGGCCCCGGCTGAAGGAGGGAACCCCGGATGGGAAGCCAGTTTATGGACGCGTCGCCCGGGACCACAGGGTTGCTGACACGGCCACGGCCACGCGCCTGTGGTTTGCTAAGAGAAAGGACAGCGGAGCCCACGTTACCTGGAGAGGGCGCTATTGTTCGCCCCCCTTTTTTCTCATCCTGTGCAGTTCCAGGGCTGCAGGTCAAGTATGGGATAGGGGAGACCCTAGGGGTCTTTTTGGGGGGGGGGAGGAGAAGAGATGGGGCCAGACCGAGGCTGGGAGTGAAGAGCTCTGAGTAGGATATTTAGGCATGTTCTCTGTGGCCAGCAGGGCCTAAGAGGGCAAGGGGAGCTGTGTCTGGTGGACTGGGTCCCATCCTGCCCTTGGGTTTGTGCCTTGGGGGAGACGGGTAGAGTGTTGGCCAAGCAGCCACCAGCCGTCCATGAACCACACTGCTCTCTTGCTCTTCCCAGGTCTCCGCATGGCTCTGCCCACTACGGAAATCCCATCAACACGTTCACTGTGAGGCCTGGGACTCGCCATCCCATCTCTTATGCCTACTCTGGAACTCATCGGAAAGCTACATCCTGAGCCCGGGGTTCTCTCAGCTCTACTCCAGTGGGGTTGGACCTGGGCACTTGTTTTGTGGGGGTGGGAGGGTCACAGCAGGTGTTAGACAACATGGAGAAGTCAGTGTTCCCCCAGCCAGAGGGATGAGTGAGCTGCAGTACTGGCCTGGGGAAGATGGAGTGGGCTTCTGTTTTCCAAAGCAACACCAGCGCTGCTATGGACTGTTGGCAAATGGGGGGTGGGAGGGGCAAGGAATGGGAAAGGAGGAACCTTCCAGTGGCCTGGGCCCTGACTCTCCACTCTCCAGTACTGGCTGCTTTGGCAAGACTTATTTAAAGCAGTTTTACAAGCACAGCCTACTGAGCAGGTTCTAAAAGCAAGGGATGGGCACTGAGTTTAAATCCATGCAAATAACTGTGTGCCTGACAGGCTTCACAAAGGGCTGAGGCCCATTCCTGCCCTGTGGGTGCAGGGCCTTCATCTGCTGCCACCAAAAGGTGACACCTGGACTTCCTAGCCACACTGAGGTCAGACCAGCACTACACATGCATCTGGAGAAGGTGCTGGAGCTGGCCAGCCCTATGTGCTGACCAAGGCCAGGGATGGGTTCATTTCTTGATGGTCCTGGCCCCCAGCCACAGGGAAGCCTAGAGTGAGTTTGGGGTGGGGGGGGCAGGATTAAAGCTTGCTTTTCTAATGAGAACTATGTAGCCCTGATTTTGGGGATTGGGCCCAAGAAGCCATGAGATCTGGGGCTTGACACCAGAGACTAGGTCTTATGGAGGTTCTGGAGGGCCATTATTCCTAACTCCAGTACTATAAGTCACTGTCACTGAGGCCAGGACGCTGGACGATCTTGCAGAGCAGAAGGAGAGAAGGTAAGAATAGAGGGCTGGGAGAAGTTTTCTGGGGAAATGTGTTTTGGAAAGTCAAGAGTGGCAGACCTGGGCAGGTTGAGAGTAGAGGAGACCCATCAGATGACCATTTGTTTTTGACTGGCCAGTCCAGGTTAAGTCCTGCTTTGCATGATATATGATGCTAAACATATCAGGAACAATAGTCCTTGGTCCCACTTCCCTGACTACAGTCAGTGTTGGTCAAGTTTCTGGGACCAGGTCCAGGCAAGCTGTCTGGGTTAAAAGGGTGGGAGAGCGGTCCAGCTGTCCCTTTGGGAACAAGATGTTGGACTTTTATGATTTGTTGTAACCAGCCAAGGTACTGGGTTATCAGGACAGCAGGTGAGCCACTCAGGGAAAGAAACGCAGCAGCAGGTGGGCACCCTGATGGGGCAGAGTCTGGTTATCTGTTTAGGAAGCAAGCCCATGCCAGCCGCACCAGAACTATAAATATGTATTTTCCCTGTGCACTGTTTTATAAAACTGTTCACTAATTTATCTGCTGTGTTAAAGCTTGAGGTGTGGAGTGTGGACTCCCAGCTGGAGAGTTCTCTGGGGTGGGTGGAGAAGGGCATGGTCTCACTTGGCTTGGGAAATAAACAGGCCAGTTTGGACTGGCCCCCAGCTCTGTGGCTGTGGATTGATGACTCGGAGCTACTGTGGTGTGATACAGGGAGAGCTCAGCTGGGAAGCCAAGCACAGGCTGCCGTGGGATCTGCTGCACCATGCTGTCAGGCCCAGTTCTAACCCTCAGTGTTCTTGTTCTCCGAATTCCCCACGGGGAAAGAGTGGGGTTGAAGTCTGGTGATAACAAACTGTGTCTTAAGCAAGTCTCTGAGTTTCCGAACCTCAACTTCTTCCTCTGAGCATGACATCAATACCTAAAGCTGCTATGAAGATTACAGGGGACAGCCCTGCATTCATTTAACAGGTATTAGGGTAACTGCTAGATGCTTCACGTGGATGTACAGCTAGCAACACACTGACATGGTTCATGTTCTTAGCAAGGTCATAGCCTAATGGAGGAGAGAGAATAAAAAAGGGAGCACACAGAAACATCAAAGATTATAACAGGAAGCCAGGAGTGATGGTGCATTCCTATAACCCCAGCACTCAGGAGGCTGAGGCAGGAGGATTGCTAGTTTGAGGCCAGCCTGGGCTACAGAGCAAGACATTATTTTTCTTTCTTTTTTTCCTTCCTCTTTTTCTCTTTTTTTTTGGGGGGGGCTTCATAGGCTTCATATTCAAGGCTTCATACCTGCTAGGGAGACACTCTACTACTTGAGCCATGCCCTCAACCCTGTGAGACCCCATCTTAAAAAAAAAAAGGGAAAGGTTTATTTCAGCTAACAGTTTTAGAGGTCTCATGACTGGTTGACCCTGTTGCCTTGGTTCTGTGCCATCATGTCACAGCAGGAGCCTTCCACTTCATGGCCAAGAAGTAAAAAGAAGAGGAGCTGGGGTCCCACTGTCCCCTTCAAGGGCACACCCCAGTGGCCTGAAGACCTCCCACCAGGCCTCATCTCCTAAAGGCTTCCACCACCTCCCAAGAGCACCATGCAGGGACTAAACCTCTCACCTGTGGGCCTCTGGGGGACACTGAATATCCAAACGGCTGCACCCCATTACATCTGTGTGGCCCATCACAGTTTTCCATAAAGTTTTGGCATGGTGTTTTGCCTGAACCCTCTACACGCTGTGCTGTTTTGGCCCACTCTGAACCTTTTGTAGGTTGTTGGGAGAAGGAGGCTGACCCACTTACTTGGTGGGCTGGGCTTCCTAAAGGGGCCTCTGAGTTCTCTCCCATCCTTATGGCTTTCTCGTTCTCCTGTCTCTTGCCATCCCCTTGCCTCCACCATGACACCTCGTCCTGGAAACATGGAGTGGGGACAGGCTCCACATCTGGCTTCTCTCCCTCCCTGCTCACTCTGCACTCCCTTCCCTTCATGTGACATGGGGGGGGGCAGTGGGGAGCAATGGGGGTTAATGGAGGAGGCGGCATGAGGGCGAGGACCTCACATGCTGGCTGTCCTAACAAGCTGTGTGACTTTGGGTCACGCTAGCTCATCTCAAAAGTAAAGGGGATGGACTTGGGCTATGTGTGAATCTTAAACTTTGTGAGGTCCCTGTCCTCCTTGACCTCATGAGAGCTAGCCACCACAAAGATGCCCAAGTGGGCATTTTTATTCATTATTTGCACAGGTCCCCCAAGTTTGGGTCCCGTGGATTTCAACTTGAAAACTCCTGGGCTGGGGACATAGCTCAGTGATGAAGCACTTGCCTAGCATGTACAAGCCCTGAGTTCAATCCCCAGCACTGCAAAAGAAAGAAAGAAAGAGAAGGGAGGGAGGAGGGAAAGAAGGAGGATGAAAGGAAGGAAAGAAGGGAGAGAGGGAGGGAGGGAGGGAAGAAAACATCTGAAGAGAGAAAAGAAACAAACAAAAAAGAGCTGGGTGCCAGTGGCTCACACCTATAAATCCTAGCTACTCAGGAGGCAGAGATCCTGGTTCGAGGCCAGTGCAGGCAAATAGTTCTTGAGACCTTATCCAGAAAAAACCCAACACAAAAAAGGGCTGGCTGAGTGGCTCAAGGTGTAGGCCCTGAGTTCAAACTCCTGCACCGAAAAAAAAAAAACAAACCACCAATGTACTTAACCTAGACAGTCTGGAAGTTCGTTCATTCACTTTTGCTTCCTCATACAGTCCTCTAAAACACATTGACATGTAATATTTCATAACCCATTTTATTGACGAGGAAATGAAGGCTCCAAGAAGGAAAGCAAGCTCATCTGGTTCAACTCTGCCCTGCAACTTCGTTTCTGCTGCCCCCCTTTTAGCTATATCCATTCTCCCTGTTGGTCCTCTCCCTACTGTACTACACCCTAATCTTTTTATCAGAGAGAGAAGGGCCCAGCAGAGGAAAGCCACTCTAGCATCAAAAATAAGGTTAATGGGTATGGGAGGAGCAGGCATTCCCGGTCCAGTTGACCACACCCTGGTTTCTGAAATCTCACTGCCCCCTAGGCATGATCCCAGCCTGGTGGCCAGAAACCCATCTCTGTGGTGAGTCCCAACCTGGCCCAAAGCAGCAAAAGGGGCAAATCCCAAGGAAGGCCATGGCAGGAATGTGGGGCCTGTCCTCCTGCTAAAGGTCATGCTTAGCTTTCTAGGGCCAGAGTCAAGGTGAGAGGTTTCTCTCACTGAACTCTCCCTCTGTGCATAGCTGCAGGACAGAGGTGACTAGAGCTGGAGGGGTGAAGGAAAGGCCACCTCCCTACTGAGCTGTCAGCCAGGCCTGCCCCAACCTGCTGGCTCTACCTGCCTATCCCCTGCAGCTGTGGCCCCTTTTATCTCTGCAGCTCAAAGGCAATGCTGGCGTCCCATCATTAGGCAGCTGTCCTGGATGGGTGGCCACCTAGACCAGGTAGGCAGCCTGCAGGGGCAGCCAGATGCTGCAGCCCTGGGGGGGCCTCTGAGTTGCTTTTGACCAGGAAGGCGACAGAAGTGCTCTTCGGGAGGGACCAAGACAAGGCATTCTGAATGCACCCTTGTTTGCATGGGTAATCCTGTACCCCTGCCCATTCTCAGAGCTCTAGGCTTCCTTCATGTTTGGTGCAGAGGAGTTTCTCCTCCCTTCTTCTCCTTCTGGGGCACTCTTCTCTCAGCTTCTACAGAACAATGTGCTCTGATCCCCTCCCAACTTCCACACTCAAGTCTCACTGTTCTCAGCTCTTTCTCTAGCTGCTGCTTGCTTCAGGCTGTCACCCTGCCTACTTCATCAGGGACCACATTTCTACCTTTGAAAGCACTTCCCACACATGTCCACAAGGACGCCTAGCCATCTACCCAAATCCAGCTCCTCCAAAACGAAGAGGAGCCGGGCACCGGTGGCTCACGCCTGAAATCCTAGCTACTCAGGAGGCAGAGATTAGGAAAATCGCAGTTAGAAGCCAACCCAGGCAAACAGTTCATGAGACCCTATCTCGAAAAACCCTATCACAAAAAATTGGGGCTGGTGGAGTGGCTCAAGGAGTAGGCCCTGAGTTCAAGATCCAGAACTGAAAAAAAAAAAGAAGAGGACTCCTCTTTCTTCCTTCTCACACAACTGCTGGGAGACCAGCACAGCTCGACCAATGGACTCAGATGTTCACTCTACCTCACTACTTGGCTCCCTCAGCTTCCTCAAGGTCGACTCTCTCTGATCTAA